TGAAGTGCGCGCGGAGTTTCCGAGCGAACTGTGCTGTTGTTAAGGATCAATGCTAGAGTGGCAAAGTATTGAGCACGTTTCCAGTTCGGTGGATACGTGTGAACCCAAGGGTTACCAGCGTTTGGCCGCGCATAGTACGCATGAAGTGTAAAGTTTGATATCTAGAACACAATGCTCAACGACTGTCCCTTGTGTGACCAAGTTGGACTATGCATCCGAAGAGAAAATGTCCAGGAATTGCTGGGGCAAGTAAACAATCCCGACAATTAAGCGATTATCATGATGTCGATGTTTCGCTCCGTAGGTTAGTGATGAGAGTGAGCATAGTTGTATTTCCAGCTGTTCATCAGCCATACTGAATTAACCGGGGCTTAATGAAAACGCAGGTACTAAACGGATTGAAGGCGGAAGCGCAGAGCCGCCTACCAGAAGTTGAATTGCACATGGTCAATCTCCTGGATTGACTAAGAAAAATGTTAAAACCAACGAGAATGGTACGTCAATGTTTTAGTATATTACATCGGAAAAGAATTGACACATGTATGTATGGTCCCTCTGTAGGCGCAGGCGTCCTGTGGCTTGCCACAGTGACAGGCAAATCCGAAACCGGATGCTGCCAACCATGTATGCAGTGCATGTTTGTGATAGCTCACACTTCAGTTTGGATAAACGCATGTGCATATGTTGTATTCGAACTGCCACTGGACACGAATGACACCAATCTATGTATATAGGTATACCGAATGAATTCGACGAGGATACTCATAACGCTTTTGTACGGCTAACTTAGTGCAGTAAAACGACATTCGAGCAAACCGAAAATAACATTACCAGAACATGAAGAAGGTGAGTTTATGACAAACTAATGTTGATTTCAGGTGTTGCAAATCCAAGGAAAATTTGATTGATGCGAATTCCGTGGACTGTTCAAAAAGGCGGTTTCTCAAGTGCCGGAGAAGGCACTATTGCACGTGGAATAGAAGCACCATGAGTGTGTTCCAATTCATTTTACTAATCCAGGCCAATAAGGCGGCGTATGTGGTACGTTTGCCTGCGTGATGAGTAATCTTGCATTTCAGAAGTAGATGTTGCTTGAGCTCCCCGGTGTGGATGCGCTTGATCTGAATGTTGACAAGGTGCCTACCTGTATATCACCCACTACCTCTTCCATACTAGCTCCAGGAGACAGTTGGTCGTTGCTGGTGAGGGCGGGGTGCACCGTTCTCGTGACGGTGCTAGGCTCAAAGAGTTGTTCCATCCTGTGTGGAACGGCCTACGGTCCAGCTACCGCCTCGTGTACGTCTGGTGTGCATGATTTCCCAATTAGGCCGGAATGCTTCTGTTCTGCTTGTTGAAGGAGTGTGGGTCGGCTCCGTTGATGAAACGTGGCTCCCATTCACATGCCTCCCGGTCTTATTCCTTCGGGATTACACCGGATATGGGGTGTGTGGGTGGAACTGTGGGTGGTGCAACGCAAGCCAACCATGGTCCCCTTTGTAGGCGCAGGCGTCCTCTGAATGTCCTCATGGAGGCCACTGTGGCAGGCAAATCCGAATGCTGCCAATCCATAGTTTCCTGGCTTTGACCCAAAATTTCATTCCAACAAGCTAAATTCTATCGAGAACTCAAGAGACTGAACTCAAATGCTAATGGGCCTAATACTTTTAAGGCAATTGTCTTGAGTTGGCGTATACCCCCAACTATGCCTTTGACAAATCTTTCCAACCGTTTTCTATTAGGTAGCAGTATTCACTACATTTGGGGGCCTGTCAGGATGACGCTCTTGCCAAAGAAAGGATCCACGGGTTTCCGTCCGATCACCTGTACGTCGATTTTGCTGGAAGTATTAGTGACTATTTGTGCCTTTGATCTCAACAAGCACTCCGGCTGTGCACGTATCTCAGTTTGGGTACAAACCCCAAGGTTCCATCAATCTTTCCGTAAATGCTGAACGCCCACATGAGGCCTGACGTAGAATATGCGATCCAGGCCTGACGTCCCTGGCGCAAGCGCGATGTCGATGTACTTGAAATTCCACAACGTAGAGCGACCAAACTCGTCATAGAATTGTTTCATCTCTCCTACCAACGCAGACTGCAGTACCTGAAGTTGTACAGTGGTGAATATCGACGTCAGCGAAGAGACCCAATCATGGTTTACTTAATACTGACGGACCAAATTCACCCATGTCACAGTCTGTTGCAGTTGAGTCAAAATACCAACCTGAGAGGCCATCAGCTCAGACTAACGACGCACTACAGTCGGCTTGATTGTTGACGGAACGTTTTCTCCCTCCGTGTGTCCAGTGCCTGGAATGCCCTTCCGACTCACGTTATCATTGCCTCTACCTTAACGCTATTTAACAAAGGCCTTGATGAAACGCTTTCTAACTGGCATTACGAGTGAGCGTTGTCGTTCCATTCTCACGCATTTAGTGAACTATAACGGCACTTTATATTATTTTGTGTGCGTACATTTCATTCTCACTACAAACTATCGTTATGCAGTAGTGCATTTAAATCGGTAGACGCTTAAAATAACGATTTGCTTATCCGATGATCATTTAAATATTAATTTTTACTCCAACCATCCTACGGGAATTGTCAAGCATATGCTTTTTTACCTTTGATAAATCATTGTTCACTGTTGGATGCCGTAGCATACTGTGTCAAATCAACAGCAACTGCATTGTACGCGAAATGCAAGAATGTGCACCACCTCCTCCTTGATTACATTAATGCGTTCGGAAACGTCAACAGGTTATAATCGGCTGTCTGCAAATGGCGTTCAAGCAGCAGTGCGAAACTGCTGTATAAAAATAAACACTTGGTAAATAGATAACACTTCATTCAGCGAAATGACCAAAAGCCCTCCACGCTTCGTCTTACAAAGAGCAGTCCTCTTCGATTCTCCTCATGCATCGAAGTGCTTGCAATTGTTCTCAATTTTATTGGGTGTAATTATGCTAAAGACGTAGTCTTAGGCAACACTGCTCCAACTGCAGAATCATCAACGGCTCTCCAAATCAGGATGGACGAGCGTCAGCGGTGGTCGTCGTCCCGACCCCTTATTCTCAACGCTTCTAAATGCCGCGATGTAACTTTCGCTTTTCTATGCAATGACAAACATTTCTCGCCCCAAGATGGTGAATGAGCACAACATACCCAGTTAAGAACCTCAGTGCATATTTATCCCAAATCTATCACGGTCAACACACGTTGACGAAACGCTCCCCAAGTGGGGAAAATTATTATTCTTGGCCTGGAGACTTTAAATGCTTTCGGTATCCTCCTTCTTAACTTATACATTCGTGGTTGCTTTATTTTCTTCCTCATTAGCTATATTTCGCACCTATCAATTACGTAGGTAAAGAAATGGGTTTCATCCGAGGATACATAACTTCTGCATTCCAGTAAAAGTTAGGCAAAGAGAGAGGGAAGAGCAGACACAGTTAAAAAGCGCCACTTGAAGCCAGTCACACACAATCCACGTTTAGAAGGTAAGCATCTAGATCATATTAGGTTTTTAACCTGTGATTACTCAGAGAGTGAGCCTGAGCTCTAAGTCAAGAGGTTACTCGTCTTCAAAAGCCCCTCGCGGTGATCCTTTGACTGTCTTGAGTGCTGTAGATCCTCTCTTCATAAACAGCAAGTGAAATTGAGGCAGAGTTTGTCTGACCTCTAACAATCGATTTGTATAATAAGAGAAGCCAAGACGGTAGATTGAGTGAATTTCCTTGGTACACTTGAAAAAGCTAAAATGCGATTAAGAGATCTTGGCTATTGCTGTAGTCGGAAATTCAAAGAGAACCGATTTATACCTAAATAATTTGAAGGGTTATGAAATAGTGTCAAAATTTATCCTTTCAGTATTCACAGATGCAAATAGTTCGACCTTCAATGTCAGTGGCTTTCGGATTAGATGCCGATAAATAAAGTGTTCTACAGGATTTGCCCAACCAATTGATATCCCCGCAGTTGTCGCGAACTGATCCGTTTAGTACAATTGCACTGGACCACGGAAAGACACTATACACCTTGGCACACATCATGTTCTGGTGGAATGATACAAAATCCATTGCCTAGCTGGCTCAAGCGTATATGCAGTAAGTAAAATTGAGGCGCGCAGTAGCATTCCACGAAAGATGATGCACAAATATTATCGTTTTCAAACAGCATCGGATGTTTTGGGCCAAAACCGTCGACCATGGGCAGCAAGCGGACCTAAATCGTGGATCTGGAGGAATGTGCTAGGTCCCACTGTTCGTTCGAAAGGCGTCGCCGTACAGTTGAAGGAATATGCATTCAAACTTTTAGAATATATCAGCAACCGGTCAAGAAGGCATGCTTTCAAAGATTTGCCAGCAATTGACTGAGGTATTTAATTGTGTCGCAACATTTCTCTATCGAGGCGAAGGATTCGTCAGGCCAGGTGGATTGGTACATATTTGGGGTGGCACTTTATAGTGAGCGATAGAGAGATACTCGTAACATGAGACTTACAGATATACGTGGACAAGTTATCTCAAGTGGTGCGTGGGTTTCACGGCCCGGCGCGTCGACAATTCGATTCACATACCTATTGGCTTTGGCGATTTCCACCGCCTGAGCAACTGATCTTTGAGGCGTCAAGCGAAAATCCCTCCTAATAAACTAGATATTATGTAAATCCTGCGGGGCTAGAACGCGAATTCGATTGTTACTATTCCGTACTAAAGGCTACTGAGCAATGACCCAGGTGACTAGAGGTGATATAGGGCAGTTCACTATGCACTGATTTGCACGTTACTGTCGCACAAAATAAAGGGTAGCCCCTCCCCGAGCGACGAAATTACCAAACTCAGGCAGCTAATTCACTTATGGCATCATAAGCAGTTTGGTCTACGTACGGAGTACAAAGGAGGAGTAGTCACGTCAATGGGCGTGAGGCGTTGGATTAGAGGGTCACGGTGCAAAGAGTTAGCCAATACGGGAAGCAACCACACTAAAAGGAAAACACCCAACAAGTTGGGGCAGGATATATTGAAAAGAAAATAGCCTCTAATATAATTGGCAGATACTAGGGCAACGATAGAGTACTCAGCAAAGTTACACAGGAGTAATTAGCAGAAATGATGTTTACTCACCGAGGAAAATGGAGACCATAAGATGTTGCATAAAGAGTACACAATTCCAAAGAAAATAGAACGAAGGTACAAACAATAGAAAGAAGACAGTAAACAGAACATCAAAAGAAAACCACACATGTGCAACCATCAATCCAAAATTAAAACAGTACACATGGGTGAAAGACAATGCAAAAATGAAAGTTCAGAGGTCAGATCTATTAACCAGTCATCTGAAGTAGAGCTCTAAGAAAGTATGCCACTTTAAGCTATCCACCAGTCAGAGTGATGTTCAAAGAGCACCGACGCTGCAGACGAAGAGTAAGCGGCGGCAGTGGACAACAGTAAAGGAATGTCGCTTGTCGAGCAGCTGCGGGGAGCGCGGATGAAAGGAAGACAAAAATATCAGGCGCACGCTCACATCCATAAGGACAACAATACAGGGTAAAGCAAAAAGCGGAGCAATATATCGGAGTTCGAAAAGCGAAAGGCTGGTATCAGCCAAGAACTAGTGACAATTCGAAGCAATGGTAGGAACGAAAATCGATTGTGACTAGTGCGTTCACTACGTATAAAATGTAACAATATATTATCCTGAAGCACAAGTGCCGACACACAATCCCATTCAGGACCACGATGCACTTTGAAGTGAACCTCGGTGAATTCGGTCACTAGGAGACTATCTGAGGCAGATAAAAATGGGATATTAACCACACGTAATGCCGAACTCAACGACCGGTTTAATACTCCGTTGTATAAGAAAAGAAGATATAGCATGGCAATTGTGTAACGTGTCGGCAGTTCGACTGAGCGCATATGCGATGTACTATCTCGAGTGAAAGTTCTACCAAGTGACAGATTTACATGCCTGTGGCACACGGAGAACATCGTCCCCTTGGGGTGGGATCTAGTTGCTGAAAGCGTGGTGCCCAGGACTGTATGTTTAGATACTTGCTCCGCATCTCTAAGATGCAGAGTAATGCTACAGGATTAGACAACATAACGCCGTTCCTCATGAGAACTGTCTATCATTACTCGACTGGTTCATGTATAGGCGGGGCCGCATTACTCCTGGTGCTTACGTCTCCAATGGGGGTGTTGATGAGGCCGGCAAAGGTCGTGTAGCTTTTCAAAGCCCCTATCTGGCGAGGGACACGCCACGAAGCAGGCTGATCGGTCAAGATGAGAATGACGATAACTAACGCAGTCTTCCCTAATTGAACACCCATCGAGGTTCACATGGGTCATATTCGTCAACATCACATTGATGTTCTCGACGACTACATGCACTTTTCGTCACTGGCCATAGCGTTCTTCTGCTAGACTCCCAACCAATAAACTAGCTGACTGTGAAATCGATAGTGTTTCTAAAGTTTCCGGCTTATTAAGAGTTGATGGCTGAATTTAGGATACATCATCATCATGAATACACGTTGGCCGAGGGTGAGGAACACACTTCAGCTAATGGGCCGCAATACAAAAAAGAATAAGACATTAAGTAATGTAGACTTTAAAGCTATAAAAAGTAACATAATGCTAATATCACATGTGATGGTTGTTAGGGGGAAAATAAAGAGAATGGGAGGGACAAAGAGACTCACGACAAAAACGCCACTGAATTCGACATGTCGGCTAGCGTATCCCACCAAAGGTGTTTAGTGTTCTTCAGTCCACAGCCAGGCAGTCGGGAAACACCAACCAACGCCAACATCCAAGTGAGGGACTTCATTCCTCATGACCAAATTATCGTTTGGCCTCTTTTTCTCTTCGTCCAATCACACCCCCGGTGTGTAAACAAAGCACGTCGCGGGGTTCGGTGGGCTGGCATGCACAACATATGACCCAGCCATCGGAGCCTGGTGTGTAATATAACGGTGTTGAGCGGTTCACTCACTCTTCCTGCACCAAATACAAGACGCCGAACACGCACATTGCTCACGCGGTGATCCCACCAGACATGAGCTAAGCTGCGAAGGCAGCGATGATCGAATGTAAGCAGCCTTTGTATGTCTGTCGACTTGACAGGTCAGGCTTCACAACCGTACATGAGTTGTAAGGAGGGCTGCATTGTAAACTCTGCCCATCAGGGCGATAGTAATGTCACTGCGGCGCCACAAATGGCGGAGATTAGCAAAAGCGCATCGAGCTTTTGCTATACGGTTCGTGATATCATCTTTCGTTCCACTGATGCTGATATAGCTGCCCAGATAACTGAATTTCTGGACGATTTGTAGATGATCACCGCCAAATGTCAATGCAGGAGTGGGTCCATGACAGTCTTGGAGAAGTACTTTGCATTTCTATGGTGGAACGCATAGCCCGAAACGAATGAGAACCAGAGCTAATTTATCTAGTGCAAGTTGACACATTTTGGAGCTGTCACAGATGAGCGCAATGTCGTCAGCATACTCCAAGTTGAGAAGTCGTTAGCCAGGGAGCGGCTTTATATTTTCCAAGTCAAGGCCGGCGTGCGCCTTTTCTATGACTTCATCAATGGCGAAGGTGACAGCGGGCAACCTTGTCTCACACCGCTGGAGATATTGGTGGCGACAGCTTGCCGTAAACCCTCACTCTGCCCGAGCTACGAGCGTATAGCGTTCGGATAATACTTACACATTTCTCGGGTACACCTTTCATGAGTAGACAGACCAAAAAGGGCACGTCGATCAACCGAATCGAAGACAACTTTGATGTCTAGGAACACGACTACGGCTGGCAGAAAATAAACATGACAATGCTCCAACAACTGACTTAATGTGAAGAGCTGGTCAATGCAGCCTCGATTTCGATGAAACCCGGCCTGCTTGTTGCGCATCTGGCGTTCACAAGTGCCAGTCAGTCTATGAAGGACGACAGACGCAAGTAACTTAGAGGCGATGGACAGACTGATTCCTCTATGATTACAAAATTCGGAACGGGAGCGTCCCTTGAAAAACGGAACTATTCCAGTCTGTCTGGAGAGTCTCCTGCACCCATGGATTCACTAATAACTTATGTAAATCATCCAAAAGAGCAGGTCCTCCAAATTTGAAGATGGCTGGATGAAGCCCATCTGCTCCGGCGGCCTTGTTCAACTGCAACAGTCTGATCGCACGTTCGATTTCTGCGCACATCCAAGAAAACGGCGCTTATTGGCCGATGGATAAACTAGCAACTCTGACTGAGTAATCTGCTTCTCAAAGTGTTCGGCACAACGCTCCAAGCTTTTGACAAGCTGTGGATCAGCTCTGCTGCCGGTTTCTCGTATCAGACAGGATAACTTCCAATGGTTATCAAGGTCAGGGGCCACTTCCATCTCCGAAGCACGATGAGACCACCAGGCTTCGCAATCTCTTTTCAGGATAGCAAGTAGTTTCGCTATGAGAGCTTTGTGAGTCCCACTTCCAGCTTCCAGTCGGAATATGCCGGCGAGTATCCAGTAGTTAAAGATACTGCACAGAGACTAAATGTCTAGGTTGGCAATTCGATTTGCCACATGAAGACATGCCTGCTGTTAAGAACGTCTGGCGGATATGCGACCAGTGAACTTCAACTGTGTTCAGTGAGTGCTTACCCAGGTCAGATGCTAGCGTACTTTGACACGCATTCAGAACATCCGACTTCATCAGATGGCAAATATCCATGCATTCACAGCGCCGTTGCGGAAGTCCACCGAAACGCATCCGGAGGTCGGTGCAAACAAGTGCGTCAGAATCCACGATAGTGCCCCAAATCGAGCGACAGTTTTGAACGCATCCTCTCCAGTGGTAACTGATCGCAATGTGATCGATTTGCGTCCATGGCTGGTGGGCGCCATGCCACCTTCCTGCGGGTGTTGTGTAGGAAGTTAGTGCTCGCAAGAAAGAGACGAGCAACTTTGCACAGGTGTAGCAACCGCGCACAGTTATCATTACGGGAAACTACACTGCAGTGGCCACCAGATAAAGCCCATCAGTGGACAGTTTTCCAACTTAGTTGTTCAAATCATCAACAAGTACCAGTGTCCGTAGTTTTTCCGTAACGAAGAGGTGCGTTCAACTGGTGATAGAATTCGTCTTTCACCAAGTCAGCGCTACAATTTGTGGGCGCGTAGGCCGCAATGACAAACAAGCACTGTTTGCCCCCACGCGACTTCGATGCCCTGGATGAACCAGCCAATCTGACAGCGCACAACCGGCTGTTCATGAGGTTACAATCGATCAGGGCAGCTTCCGCCGGGGCGCTAAGAGCAGTGCCCAATTGGTCTTGACCGGTGTTTGAAGCCGTTTCATTCCTGGACAAACGCAATGAGGAAATACCACCAGTGCGCACGCTGGGGATCGGAAAGTAATCACAGAACTCGTTACTTGCAGGCGAGTTTCTGACAAGCAGCAGATATCGATTGTTAGGGTCCTACACATTATGACCGTTACAAAAAGATGAAAATCTAACCCATTGGCCAAAAAGGCTAGAACGTAAGAGACGCTCTATATTCATCATCAGCAGCAGCAAAACAGCAATTTTAACTGATGCTTTATTGACGTACAATCGCGGCGACCTACAGACCAAAAAATAATCACAGCAAGAAGGAGAAGCTAGCGTAAAAGCTGTAGTGCCCCAAACAAACATTCAGGGTCAAGGATCCTACACCATCTCAACAACATACCATCACAAAAGCTGGTAGTCGTACTACGATAAGGTGTCACTGGCGATAGGGCTTCCTTGGGCCTTTCACTGTCCCGCGTCATAATAAGCGATTACCCCACTGATAACACAGTACCAAGCACACTTTAAACAGAAAATCGTACCGGTGCCGACTGCGAGCCGTGTACTTTAACGTCTCAAACCAAGTACAACGCAGATTACGTAGACTCATTCCCGGAAAGCGAGACGGACTAACGGCATCCAGCTTTGTAGTCAGTGACTTCATTTGCCACTGCCAAGTTAACTTTTGCCCACCTCGAGCCCTGTGCCAACCTATATCTGGTAGACTAAACAAGGACCTCCTTGGTAACCGGTCACCAGGCATATGTAGTACATGCCCAAGCTAACGCAAGTTATTCAGTGCTATCCGTTATCCCAAGGAATTAGCATGATTATCACTGAATAGTACGCGGATACTCACATCATCGTTGCGGACACCCCGGTGCCATCCGACACCAACAATGCTTCGCAGACAACGATGATCAGAGACTTGAAGGCGCCCCAAATCCAAAGGGCCAAGTCTCATTCCCATAGAGCAAGACAGACCTCACAGTGTCCGTGTAAACACTGTCCTTCAGACTGAGGGAAACACCTTTCCGAGGTCACATATGTCGCAGATACAAGAAGACAGTTCCACTTTTGGCAATAGGGAAACTGACTTCAGTCGGTTTGCGCCCATCGTTGTCGATGCAGCATGTCAAGGCAAGTAAAATGATCAACTATCTCGAGTTCTTTACCATCAAGGGGTCATCGTGGCTTGTAGTACTGCAACAGCACCTAGCACTTTGAATGTGCGAAGTATATGCTAAATGATGGGACCAGTCTAGCTTGATTACTCATCATCATCATCAACAGCAGTACATCAGCCATTTGAACTGATGCTTCGCTGCCATACAACCATGAGGACCTATGAAATAAAGTATAAGAAGAGGGAGAGAAGGGGGACTTACCTGAAAACCTTAATGCCCTAAGCAAACATTCAGGGTCAAGGCGCCTACACCTTGTGTAGACAACATTCCGTCACAAACAGCTGGCTATCGTGCAAAGATAAGGCTTGATTACTCAGGTTTCACTGGGATGTAGTAACATCGTTAAACAGCAAGACAATATCGTCCGCAGAATCAAGATCAACTTGCTTTTCGCCAAGCAGCTCCTCAACACCTGCATCGTGAGAATCCACAAGGGAACACTCCATGATGGAGTTTACGAGGAAGTTGAGCAAAAATGGGGAAATCAGACAACCCTGACATACTCCACTTTTTGCCGGGAAGATATCACAGAAACTATCGTAGATCAAGAATGGATCTACCGACTGAGTGGAACACACTCTTGACTTCAAGGAACACAGGTAATGTCGGTGTGTGGTACCAGTGTGGAGCTGCTCTAGTATCTGCTGCAGAGAGGATAGGTAGCCTCCACAGGCGTTAACTTGCTTGCTTTTCCCGAATCTGGGATTCCCGTTAGGGCAGTGAGGCGACGAACAAGAAATGAAGTCAGTCATTTGTCACCATCTGCATTAAACCAATATCCCTGGTATGATCCATAAGTGAGTCGATAGTTTACACATGCAAGTAACACTGCAATCTTACAGTAAGCACACTATAACATACAGAAGTAAAACGCCAACGAGTAAAAAAGTACGGACTAGTTTATCAACAAACTCCCTTTTCAGGCACTAAGCAGCTTTATGAAAAATCTGAAGTCCACGTTGAGAACGCGCAATTCACCGACGTATTCCGTTGCCTACAGAACAGATATATGATACCTAATAAAGTAATGGAGCTACCCAATACAAGCGCGGATACAGCCACTGTATATGGGAGAAGATTCAAAATAACATAAGGTGAATAACATACTATGCGTTGCATCGAAGAAAGAACGGTTCCACCTGTGTCAAATCTCTCGTCCCGACGAGGACAGTGATGAGAAGCGCGCACTGACACATTTGAAAGCTGGTGCTGACCTGATTTAGTTTGGTTTTGCTCAATTCGCATCCCTTCCACCCATCATGTGTGAATCATGCGAATCATGGGTACTTCGGTAAGTTACATCGCCGAATCTAACCATCGACCTAGCAATTTAGTATTACTCCACCTCCCGTCCCCGTTGTCTGGCTCGAGGTTACAACGTGTGTTCGTGTCAAAACACATGCACTGATGCCCTAGATTCCAGAGTTAGCTTCTCTCAGCCATTTCTCGGTCCACTCTAATTGCTAGCATCCAACACTTGCTTGTTCACAGGGCCAAGTTTATCTCGAACCTCACACGTCCACATGGATATTAATGAAGATAATGCAAACCGACGTTTGTCCCATCTTCATCCTTATGCTATAGCATGCTTGCACTCGGTTGCAGACACCACACGCTGCCATTAAAAACAGAAACTCAGACAAATGGATCCCCGAGAATCATTCATTTTTATAAATCGACAAGTCTACATTGTCCAAGCACAGACAAATCCGTATCTCCCTGGTTAATACTCTAGTCAATATGCAGTCTCAGTTACGTAATAATGCATTTTTCTATTTCTATCCCTACTCTCACCCACATCCACTGAAGAGTACTATGCGGTCTTCTGTTACAAATAAAGAGGAACACCGATGGAGGAAGTAGCTTCTCTCCTCACCAATCAGAAGTATGGCATTATTCCATTTAACTTCCCTTAGTATCCCTTGGTAATGAGTACGCAGGCCAAACTGCTTAAATTTGGTAAGTTCGTCGCCTGGTGAAAGCGCTATCCTGTCTCTGCATCGTAGTAACCTGCAACTCAGTGGATAGTGAGTGGCGATATATCAAACCTAGCAACTTAGTCACATCGATCGTTACCATCTCACATAGCTCAGTGACATTAACCACAGACTGGTAACAGTCAGTGTGTGGGTCCTAGCCTCACAGGCGCCAGACGGAATGTGCACTGCTCACGACTCCCGAAAGGATGAAACGACCGTACAGTGCTTTCCGGGCGGGTAATGGCTAGGTGACTGAGCCCAGATGTGAGTAACTTCTACCTATACTATTCCACTCCGCTACTACTCTATTTCAACATGGCATCAGACATAAAACCGCATGACGCAACTCCTGCATTAGTTGAATAAGCTATCCTACTCCGACATGGAAACCGAAAGCCATGTCAGCAGAAAATGTAGAACGACGATTTATCGAGGCTGTGAATAAGTACAGTAGTCCCTGTAAAGGTGCATACTGAATGTCTACAAGCACGGGAAAGCATACTGCGTAAATACGGACCTGTACGCCTCATAGGTGCAAGTGATCGTCAAATGGAGAAATAAAATATCAAATTGGAGGGTCAATTTCGAAGTACTCATTGTGTGAATGCATTACGACATGCAATCTCGACGTGAACCGTGATTCGCATTGAAGTGAACCTTGATCAATTCGCTCACCAAGATCTTAACTGATGGAACAGATGAATATTGGATGTTTCTCATCTGAAAACTATTTATTTGTTTATATGAAACGTACCCACACTGTTATCGGACGAAAGCAAAACATTCCAAGCCACGGCAAATGTGTCTGTGGTCTATCGCAACAGAGGAACCCCAGATTGATGACGTACAGTAGATATGGAAAATATTGACGCAAACCAACCGATAGAAAATTGCGTCAAACTGCATTCGTTGAAATTATCGCGAAGAACGTGATTAACGAAAAGGTCAAAGGTGAAAGTAGAGTTAAAATTGTTTATGAACGGCAGACGTGCCAACTGAGCAAAAAGTGACATTGGACGAAGTTTAAAAACGATTTAGAGAAGGCATAATTAGAGGGGAAGGAAATTCAGAAAGATCCAACGCTAAGAAGCAAAGTTGACAAGGTTCAGAAGCGTCTATTGGTTGGCACTTAAAGCAGCCTTAACTTGTTCAGAGACCTTAGTCAAAAAATCCAAACTGACCTGGCAGCCGCTGCCATGCGGTCAAAGTCATGCAGAAACGACGGGCCGGTTTTCATCAACAAGTCAGCAAGAACTCGGCTCTTGTAATAGATCAAGTACAACGTGTTCTCCATATCTCGAAGGGCCAAGGATGCGCAGGCTGTTCGCTCGAACACCACACGAGTTTGGTCCAGCAAATGTAATACCAACTCGGCAGGTTTCACTGTACACGGGAGCGGAGTCAGAGTAGCGTAACTTTGAGCTGCTGAAGAAGTCTGAGAACCATGACTCGGAGAGTTGGATTTGCTTCCAAATGTTGGCTGAGCAAAGCTATGTCGTGAGCCGAAATGCGGTGAAGAGCAAGACGGGGAAGAATCGATGACACTACTCGACTCCATGGCAGGCGGTAGGCGGCATGTAAGCATCTGTGAGATCGCGGACAGTGGAAAGCCAAAATAAACGACCACAGGGTAGATAGAACCACGCATGAAAAAGCGATGACAGAAGACTGCTTCTTAAATCAGAAGTATATAAACCTTGTTTAAAAGCGCAATTATTTAACCACAGAACGAATTGGAATATGAACCGACCTCTGAAGTTTCGGGCTTGTTCCTGAGTTCAAGAACGTAACGTGACACTCTAATACATACGAAGACTAGCCGAATTCGATTTTAATTTTAAGTTATATAGTGACCGACCAAGCTGTTGTAAAAATGCACACCAACTGGGCCCTCAAGTAACCTGGAAGTCTCAATGTAGTTGTACGCTGTTTCCGTAGCTGTTTTAGAAACTCTCCTCTGATTAGGGTAATGTTTGGAAAAAATTTACAAAGAGGTGTTTCCAAGCTGCACAGTAATTTGGCGACAAGAACCAAAAATAACGGCGAAAATACTGGAAAAAAACGGATGATAACCCAACGTCAATAGATGGAGGCCACCTAAGGCAAGCGTTGTCGGTTAGTTAGCAAAATTCGAAGATGCGATGCATAGTTGTTTCGGCTCTTTAGGGTTCCAGGACGTGGTGGGTTTTCGCTTGGCAAGCGTTCTCACTAGAAAAAGCCACATGTTTGTTTAACAACACTGCGACGTGGCGGATGTGACTCGCCACTAAATAAAGTCACTGTCCCTTGCTTCATCTCGCTGGAGCATTGTAATCATTCAGCTTGACGCTGAATTACTGGGAGTATTGGATCCCTGTTTTACAGACAGCCAAACGAAAGGTGTATGAACCGAGCAACCAGTCTACGGTTCCCAATGGGTGCGATTCCCTGAATTCGCCCTGCTGCCTTGCGGATAAGGTCCCTATGACCAAAGGCTCCGAGAGGGGACCTCTAAGTCAACTCCCTTCCTCGGCCTGGGCAACCGGGGAGCTGTATGCCCACAAAACATGAAATGATGGATTTACAATTCTCCGCTCACGTCTCTAGCTCTCTGATCTCTCTCTTTGGCCGGGGTACTGGCAACTGGGCATGCTAAACCACACTCTACCGCACCGCAAACCACGTTCTTCGTTCCCGGTTTATTCAACCATCCGGTTCTTGGCAACCCCTTTCAATTTCGAGTCTCCAAAAATGCATCGCAAATAAAAACGGTACCTTTGGCCTCCTCAATGAACCGCTCAGAACCGATCGCACACATTCCAATAACAACAGCAAGGCTTTTATTGTATCCCGCTCGCTCTTCAAGCTAGCTACTTTCAATGTTCGATCGCTCATGCAGATTGGTTCACAAGCTGCTTTTGCGCGAACCTTGGAAACCCTCTCAATAGACGTTTGCTGCCGAACCGAAACCCGTTTATAAGACTCCAGCACAACGCTGCGATTGCTCTCACCATCCCCAAGTTCCAATTGCACATTCACCTTGCGCTTATCCGCAGATGCGACAGCGGCAGTTTTTGGTTGCGCCGGCGTAGGAGTTGCGTTAAGCGCGCGTGCTGAGACAGCGCTCATTGACTGGTTCCCGGTCAACAGTCGTCTTTGTGCAATCCGCTTGGAAAGATCAGTGCGATCTCCCAGCCACGGGACCAGTAGGCGCTGCCTATTCATTGTGGTGGCGTACGCTCAAACGGACTGCATCCGGGACGAAGCTAAAGACGAGTTCTACCGCCAACTCACTGACCTCCTGCGCAAAAAACGCCGCATGGACATCGTGATACTCGCCGGTGACCTAAATGCGCAGGTCGGTAGACTAGAGGTTCATGAGCGCGAACTTAGGGGTCAACACAGCCACGGTACTCGTAGAACGGACAACGGCGATCGACTCCTACAATTGTGCGCTGACCACGGCTTGTTCCTCTCCAACACCAATTTCCGACGTTCCGGACGCCAACGAGCCACCTGGCGACCTCGGGCGCCTGGTGACCACATCGCTGTTAGTTACCGTTGGCGAGGCTGCATAACGGACTGCAAGTCAATATGGAACACTTACCTGACTTCCGATCATGCGCTCTTGTGTGCTAAGTTCATTCTGCGCTTTGGAGGCACCTAACAGCGTCGCCAGGAACGGTTTGACTCAGACAATGTCGCCGCTCCAAATGTTCTCGGCGCATTTCAGAACACATTAGCATCCAACCTACGTTCACTATCCTCCGATGTTGAGACACACTGGGTACAGATCCAGAGCGCCCTACGAAAGTCGGCTACCCTGGTCTGTGGCTTCACTAGACGAGCTGTTAGTCATTGGATCTCCGCATAGTCTTTCCAATTAATGGAAAATCGTCGAACAATTCCCGCCGGATGAAGTACAACGCACTACGCAGAATCACAGGTACTGAGCTCAGACAGCTCCACAGGAAGGATCGTGAGGTCTGGTGGACACAGCGCGTCGTTGAGATGGAGCGGGCAGCCTCATCAGGAAACTCCCGCAAACTCTTCAACTTATTCGCTCCACGGGAGGCAGAAGAACAATAGTGAGTGAGGTTTAGCGTGAAAATGACGGTGAACTAAATCAATCGTCACCGTCGTCTGGTACGATGGGCAGAGCACTTTGAAGATCAATTCAACTGGCTATCAGCGCAACCGAGGCTATCTTCCGGGGTTCACAGTGCTCCCTTTGCGGCTTTCACTGCCTCGTGACATAATCAGAAAGTAACCCGCAAATAACTCAGCACACTTTAAACGGGCAGTCAGACAAGGAGACGACAGCGGATATGCCACTGTTGTTGACTGAAAGCCATGTCCTGTAATGTCTCGAGCCAAGCACAAGACGGGTCACGTGGACTCCAGCCCGGAAGGCGAGACGGATCGACGGCACCCAGTTTGGTCGTCAGTGACTTCATTTCACGCTGACAAGGCAACTTTTGTCCACCTCGAGCCTTGCGTCACCCTACACCTGGCAGACTAAACAAGGCCCTCCTTGATAAGCAGTGACTAGGCATACGTAGTACGTGCCCAAGCCAAGGCAACTTATTCAGTGTGATCTGTTGTTCCAGGGAGCTAGCATGATTGTCACTACCTAGTACTAGCCTACGCACATCATCGTTGCGGACACGCTGGTGCCATCCGACACCAGCAATGCTTCGCAGAAAACGATGACCAAAGTGGCAAAGTCCTATTACCATAGAGCAGGATAATCGTCACTGTGGACTTGTCAACACGCTCTTTCAGACAGAGGGAAAATTCTTCCCGTCGCGAAAAGTATCGCAGATTCAAGAAGACGGTTCTTGCTTTTGCAATACATGAACTGATTGCAATGGTTATGCGCCCATCGTTGCTGATGCAGCTGCCAAGTTAAGTGAACTGATCAACTACCTCGAGTTCCTTGCCATTAAGTGGCTGGGTGGACCTGCAGCAACACTTGGCACTTTGAAGGCGCGAAGCGCAAGCCAAATGATGGGACCACTTTAGAATGCCTATTGAAGACTAATTGCGACGCCTCAACATAGTTAAACAGCAAGACGATGTAGCTCGCATAAGCAAGATCAACTAGAATTTCAACAGGCAGCACCTCAACATATGCATAGCGAGGTTCCACAAGGGAAAACTTTATGAGGGAACACACGGCGAAATTGAAAAAAATGGGGAAACTGGGCAACCCTGACGAACGCCACTTGTTGTCGGTAAGCTATCCGACAGGTCACCATAGACCCTGACACGGCCTGTGATGTTTGAGTACAGGGTACGTAAAATATACACATATTTCATGGAAACACCTTTCCGCACGAGTACCTCGAACAGAATCGATCGATCGACTGAATCGAAAGCACTCTTGAAATCGAGGAACACAGCTATCGTCGGTCTGCAGTATGCGTGGCGCGGCTCTAACAACTGCCACAGAGTGACTATGTGGTCTGTACAGCCACGTCCAAGGCGGAAGCTTGCCTGCTCTTCCCTAATCCGGGATGAGCCGTTCCGCAGTGAGGCGACAAACGAGAATTGAGGCCAGTAAGTTTGCTACAACTGGCGTTAGGCTAATAGCTCTGTGATTAGCACAGTCGGTACGACTGCCCTTCTTGTAAATTTAATTATAATCGATTCAGTCCACTTAAGCGGGACGGCCTCCCTCTATACATGTTCGAACAGGGAGGTCAGTGCTTTGCAGAGGACCTCACCTCCATCCTCACATAGTGCAGGTGGGAAGGAATCCGGGCCAGCAGCACGAAAACGACTGAGGGCTGTGATCGCATCTCGGACCTCAGCCTCCGATGGAGCCTCTAAACTGACCGTCCATGGCTCATTCTGCATCACCTGAGTAGGAAGAGGTCCGGAAGTAGGGGCTCAACTGAAATGATCTTGAAAGAGTTCCGCCGAACGAGCCATACGGCGCCTCTTATTGTGTATCAGTGCACCCGCGCTCTCTGCTTGTCTCACTGATGCTTGGTTTCCTTGGACCAGTGGTGCGGATCAGCTGGAAGAGCTTGCCTACTGGTCCTGCCTCCTCCATTTCTTGAGCCCTACTGGTCCACCAGGCTTCCATGTCAGCCCGTAGGCTCCGCTTCAGTTCGCGCATAATAGTCCGTCCGATCACATTGTGTTCACAGCCAACCGGGAAGTTTCTTCTGGATTCCAACAGGTTCACCGACCTCTCAGATATCCAGTGACTGGTGCGGAGACGATTGATAGCGCCACATGCAGATGCTCCCGCATCGTGCATGGCGACCAAGATCCTGTTCCACTGAAACTCAATGTCATTAAGACAACGGAGCGGAAGTTCGGTACGCAGTGCATCTTGGTAGGCTAGTCTGACTGAGGGCTGGGATAATTTCTTAGTTGCCAATCGGGGGAGACGCTTGGTGCGCCTCCCGGTAAAGTTCATGGACAAAGGAAATAGTACCAAAGCATGAGCAGGGTTGAAGTAGCTATTTGAGAACGAGGGATAATCTAGTATGGAATCACGCCACCTGCAACCTGATCTATTTGGATCCACCGCGGGGCAAGTCAAGTCAAGGAAATCAGTTATGCGCCTAGATCGGATGAATATTCAGCCAATACAGCATGAAATTCAGTAAAGTGGAGCAATGATTGAAAAAGAATAATACCATCAAAACCTAAACCGGTTTGTTAATTCTTGAACCATTTTGTTTTGGTCTAGCGAAAATCGCGCCAGGCAGGGGAGAATTGACGAACGTTACGCTCGTGTACCTCTGTCTCACTGACGAGGTTGACACACATTCGGACAACACACAATGGAGGTGACTTGTGTCGACAAGTACTGTTGATGCTAGTCTCATGCAAGAACCAACATGAGTGGATATAAGTACATCAAGGAACGTCCGCTTTGATACACCGCTGCATCGTGACAAGTGTTTTAACGACCTGGAGATGAATCTGAAGTACTTGCCTTAATAGACCAGGACAAATTACCAGTGAGCAGCACGTCCAGTGTGGAAAAACACAGGCAGCGAGAAAGCGAAGTATCAAATAATGGATAGAGAAAGTTCGCAGGCGTGGCATAAAACGATAACCTCCGGACTTTGGTGAAAGGTTCGTGTATATGATGTGATCAAGATAAATTATAGCTAAGCAAGACACCCAAGTACTTTACTGATGTGAAAGAATGCAACCTCTCGCCATCGATGTTGCGCTCCGGGCATTGTGGATAAGCTGTTGATATCGATTCCTGTGTAGTGAATTGACAGCATTACATACTGACACGTTAAGCTGTAGCTGGCGAGCCTATGACCAAAACGTGCGATTGTTAATAATATCTTGTAATCTGGCTGAAGAGGCATGGTTGCTTGCTTGATACCCAAGACAGTGTCATCTGCGTATAACAGAATCGTTGCCTCTCCTGGGACTGGCATTGAGTTTACTAATTTGGAAAAAAACAAATGGTGATAGAATAGCTCCCTGAAGAACACCGATGTTTGTGATTAGGGGCGAGCAACTTCTGCCCCCAAATCGGGTAACCAGGGAACGAATGGTAAAAGCATCTCACAAATGGAAGGATGTACTCTAGCACCGAGTAGATCTTTAAACAGCAATTCACGATTTGCACAGCCGAATACGTTGCTGTAGTCTAGAAAACATACTCAGGTGTACTTGATTCTATTGTCCAGTGATGACAGAACTGAGTACACTAGCCAGGCTAATGCGTCCTGGGCTAACCTCGAAATGCGGTAGGAAAATTGAAGAGAATCATTTGACCACTGTTGTGTCAGCGTCATATTAAGAATAATTTTTTCGAACATCTTTAAATCCTCTATCACAATACGAGCAGTTGGTCGATATTTACTTGAGTCCTCTTTGGTATTGTTGTGATACTGACGGCTCTCCAGCAGTCGGTACTTTTACGTATTTGAATGCAAAATATATATGAAGCAGCCATAAGTTTGGCCAGTAAGTCAGCACGTTCCTTGAGGACAACGGAAGACAGTCTGCACCATTTGCTTTTCGTGACTGAGGCTGTTTCAGGAATTTGTACACAGCGCCGCTGTTGACAAGGGGCAGCGAGTCTGCAGACAATGTAGCCTTGATCAAGGCTGATTCAGAGATCGGATGGTTGTAGCAGTTGCAGTTTCTACAGTAAGTCCGCTTAGTTGTTTTAACGTCCTCTAATGTTCACGTACACGTTGTTGAGATGACGTAAATTCTCCTTTATATGAACAGAGTGACTTTACTTAAGTGTTGCCCTTTCCTTTTGAGAGCTTTTTTTGTCAACTTAGCCGCTCTAGGTGGGGGAAGATATCCTGTCCACAAGGATGAATGGAGCTTCGCACAGACAGCAAATGTCAAAACAAAAGTTCATGTAGCATGTCAGTTGATAGCAATAGTTGGATACAGCGGTGTCAAAAAAATAAACTGACTTCGATGGATGATGCCATTTCTCGCAGTCGGTCAATATTCTGTGCGGAACATTGCATCCCCCTAAACTTGCGATAGTTGCAACGAGTAGCCACGTTATGGCTTGTCTTAGGACAGATCAGAGAAAACAGTTTAATTGTTGAGTGAGCAGAGCTACCTAACGGCGCCCTGTTACACACGGAGAACAGCTTTCGGTTGTTAACAAACACTAGATCATGAGTCGCAACGGACCTCGCGAAGCAATTCAGGATGTTTTGTAGCGCAAGGATTGTGAGGAAAGCGGTGTCGAATCCGTTAAAACCACCAGTAAAAATACATAGTGAATAACTGATGGGTTCTATTCCAGCCACAGTAAACTAATCTTAAAATGCCTCTGCTTCGATTTTCGGGCGGTTGGGGGGAAATATAGATGTTAGCCAGTAAGATTGGGCGGCACCCACGGATACATCAGCGTTTGAACCTCCGACCTAAGCAATCAATTCGTTAAGATAAGCAAAACAAAACTTTCGTGGGCGCGCACTAAGAAGTGTTGGTGTAGATGATGATTCCAGTGCCACGGTTACGGGGGAACAACGGCAGCCATCCCGATGACATTAGAACCCTTCTGCTGATACAAGTGCGTCATCTACTTCCTCGTGAAGCCAGGTCTCTCGTAGCAAAATGATGATGGATGCAAATATTCTCGGGAGTTGATGGTACTTCTTAGTTCATCTATTTTCCTTAAAAGCGAACGGATGTTTGAGGTAAATGTAATGGGTGCGCTTTTTCTTCAGAAGTGCAACTTTACATCCGGCGCGGTGTTTTCTTGCATAATTATTTCGCTTCTTGTAAATTTGCTTCAATTTATTGCCTGTAAAGTGACACAACTGGTGAGCGCGGAAACACAGGACAATTTCAAAATGTCGCGCGTAAAGGTCGACATGATAACAATTGTAGCCAGACAAAACGAAGCGAAGAAAAAGATGGGTGGAATGACGCCAAAAGTGTGTGGGTTAGAAACTCTACAGCAATGAACCGTAGAGGGGAGCCAAGTTTGAAGGTACAACGTGCGGTGGAAGTCAAGTGGCACTTTGGCGCCCACTGTATCTAAAGGCGATGTAACTAAGAAACAGCTAGTGCTCCGCAAACAGCTGCAACAGACACGCGTCGTTGTCCTTGCGGTCGGAGTTAAGCCCATCATTACAACCTAGCTGAGCTCCTGAAGAAACTAGATGACCTACTTGTACCTTCATATCCACCGCAATAACTATGATTTCTGAACTGGCAACCCTGCGTAGTATCGGGTTCAATACGTGGAAGAAGGCATCTTTGGCAGCAGCAGAATTTTAGTCGGTGGGAGCATTATGTTTTAGCTTATCGGCCTTGCTGTATGAAGCGGATAAGGCGACCCTTGATAAGATGTGTGACGCCCAATTCAGGATATGATTGAAGTGTTTAGTAGCAGTCATGGTTGTACGTGGGTTGAGATACAGCCAGGGCGCCCAGACCTAGACAGGAGGACGATTATGGTCCTCAACCGAAGCCTTTGACTCAAAAGCCAGTCTACATGGCAGCGGGGAGGTGGAAATGAATTAGTTTTACAGAAATGGGCGTCATCTGATTTCCAAGCCCCAACCACGAGGACCAAGAGAATGAGTTTGTCTGACCACTGACCATTGACCAACTCGGTAGGAGTAGCTCTCAAGGGGCCCGGGGGAACCACTCAGTTCAGCTCAATGGGCCGACGAAGTACGCAAACCGTTGCCCCACGTGCAGGAGAAAAATTGTGTAAACTGAGTGTCGATGTTAGGAACGCTCGCATGGGAAAAGCAAATAACAGATACATGGAGAACGTAAAAGTAATAATCATTTCCTACCTCAACTGTTTTGTTGTCAGTGTTGACAATAAGGGAAGAAGAGCACCAGTGAGAGGTTACTGGATGTTGATTTGTTTGCCGTCCGTCACGTAGCGTAACTATAGTTTTCTTCGCAGCAAGATTCAGTCCCCGAGTTATGATGGGTCCAAGTTTAAGCCATTGGACTAGGTGGTCAATTAGGCGTGTTCGAAAGCTTTCGAATGGTTCACATGTCGCCTGTAAGGCCAATCCACAGGTAAAGTGTTCGGACACTGAATTCCCAATCAGCAGGTGGTTGGTGATCGAAGTTGATTCGATTCGATCGAAGGGAGAAGAGGATGGCGATGAATCACTGGCGCCAAATAAGTGATTATTAGAGTGACTTCCATTCGGCGAGGTAGCGTTGCATTTATGACCCGTCATTTGTAGAGGTCTTGAAGCCTCAAACAAATCAGGTGATTCGCAATGAGTGGGTGTACTCCGGTGAAGGGTGGAGGCACTCAGGCTGCTGCGAGGTGAGGTTGCCGTGAGCTGAGGCGGAAGAAATTCGACAGACAAGCAACCGCATAAAGCGTCTTGCTCATCAGTGCACTTCCTGAGAAAGGCGAAAAGTAAAGAAGGTGAACGAAAAGCAGGAGAGGGAAGCACTGCCGATGGGGAAAAGCGTTGAACATATGCGGTTACGGCAAACGTGTAAATGTTGTGACGGTTGAGTAGTAGATGTTCGTGGCAAATGAGGATGAGCTGAGGGCTTAATTCGGTAAAAAGAGTGCTGGTCATGTGACGCACTGCATGAGACTATGCAGCAACAACGAACCAGTGGCGGCAATGAGCAGTGAGTTGCAAAGATGGTGGGCGATTGTGATGTCAGAGGTGGAGTGATGAAAACGGGAACCTAAGTAGAGGCTTAGTGCCCCAAGAAGAATTAAAAGTAGCCAATGAACTGATGAGGTTCTAGCATGGGACGTAGAGCATTCGATTGCACAAAAGATGCATCGGTGAATCGTAAGATGTTAGGGTACAACAGATTGTGCTGGGGGTAAAGCAATACGCATACGGAATTCAGAGAGAAGAATGAAATGGTAACGTACTCAATAAGCAAAGGGATCTCCGTTAAACGCGAATGAGATGGGTTGGCGGAATTAATAACACCCAAAGATGCGGTCGCGTCCGACTGACTGAACATTTCTGTCGTAGACCTGCAGTGAAGAGGACCATGAAGTCCATGCTAAACAGTATGTGACTACAATTAGTAGCACCAGATAGGACATTTGTACTTCTCAATAAGCTCACCTGGTGGTACTTGTGACATTAGTCGTATTCTGGTGCATAACACTGGCCGCCGCCGCAGCCTCGCGACTGACCATCAACTGCGCTGCGAACTCAGCGATTCGACACTGATCGCGTGTTAGCCGATTGGTCATGCATAAAGCCATACCGGAGGCATGCGTTGGGGATGAACCTGTGCTTGCGGAGTACATGGAGGTAGTGAGATCCTCTTGCGAGCTGATTCCAGAGTCCTGTGGGTCACCGATGGTGCTAGAAGCTGAAGTGGACTTGCGCTGAGTTTTGATACTTCCACGTGACTACGGAGGCACAAACACACGCACACATGAGCAAACTGCGAGTTTCCTTTCTAATGACTTCGAAAGATGCTCGCATCAAATGACCACTGTTCATTTAACGGCGATGTGCAATAAGTTAAGCAAAAAGTGCAATCCTAAACGATCAAGCTATTCACTTAACCAAGCTTGTTTAGAAAGCGCCTAAGTTTCCGTAACGGAGATTAAGGACATCAAGGAAAGAACAAGCTCATGAAAACGGAACAAGCAAGATGTGCAAGAGAGCAGTTATATAAATGATAAGACTAGTCTGAAATGCACACGACATAAGGGTTGTGGTGTGACAGATGGCCGGAGCCATTTGATTAGCCATAAAAATTAGGGTAACCAAGGAAGTGTGACTAACGTACATTAGAAAACTTACTGATGATAGACATGGACTATTGTGTTTCAGCACACTGCTCAAGATGCTGGAGTTTGTTGCGTTGGATTCCATGTGGCGTGCGGGGCATCCATCAGAGGAGGCACCAGTAGTAGGCCGATATATAGTACTGACGCTTCGCTGCCGCGCAATCGCCACCGGTCACGCGTGGAGTAAGGATAATGAAGGTCGTCCGATTCCCTATGCAGGCTCGAACTCGCCACCTCATGGTTACAAGGCATGCATGTGATCCTTAAGGCCTTGGTCTAGCGCACTCATCGAACAAAGCAATTTGTTGCAGGATCCCTAGGCCACCCACCAGATATGAATGGGTCAAAAGCTTATTAGCTGCCTTTGTGCAAATCCTGTCTGATATCACCACCATCATCAGGATACAAGTTAGTTAGGTGGGGGAGAAAGCTACTGTGCCGCAACACGAAAGGGAAAAAGACGCAACATAGGCACGCTACGTGAGCCACCAGTAATTGATGGACATCGTTCCGAAGAGCTAGCAGCCGGCTGTTGGACTGCAAAAAAATTTAGTGTGCGTCCGAAATGAGATCGTAGTTGGAAAGGAAGGGACAAAGAAACTCACATCACAAAGGCCATTGAGGTCCGCTCCTAGCCACATCAACAGGGGTATCCAGCCAAAAGCGTTAGACGTCATTCGGGCCCTAACCAGGGAGTAGGCAGGCTCCAACCGGGGCTAACTTCGAAGTAAGGGTCTTCATTCCTCTTCTACCACCAACAAGCCGGTCGAGCAAACAACACACGTCGCGGGAGTCGGTAGGCTGGTATGTGCAACACGTGGCCCAGCCATCGGAGCCTGCTGCGTGAAATAACGGTGGCGAACACGCTCATTGCTCACCCGATGTTCCCACCAGATATGAGCCAAACTGCAAAAGCACCGGCGGTCGAAGGTTACTAGTCTCTTTATGTCTGCCCATCTAATGGGCCTGGTATCATAACCGTATAGTAGGGCAGAACGTACGGCTGCATTCTACACTCTACCTATCAGGGAGAGAGTGGTGTGACACCAGCGCTATAAATGGTGAAGGTTAACAAAACCGCCTCAAGCTTTTTCTACACGGTCCATGACCTCGTCTTTAATTCCAACGGCGCTGATACAACTACCTAGGTAGTTGAACCTTGAACGACTTCTAGCTGATCCCTTCAAGGGTCAGCGCAGGAGGCGGTCCATGCCAATCTTGGAAGAAAACCTTTGGACTTTTAGGATGAAAAGCAAAGACCGAGAGGACTGACAACCAGTGCTAAGCTATCTAATGCTGTCTGCTACGTTTGTGATCTGCCACAAAGGAGGACAATGTCGTTAGCATGTTCCAAGTCAGAATCGCTCAACTGGGAGCAGCTCCACACCGCCCAGCGAACGCGATTTCTATGATTCATCAATAGCAGAGTTGAATAGGAAATGTGACAGCTTCCAACCCTGTCTCACACCGCTGGAGATATTGAAGGGCAGCGACAGCTTGCTGTAAATCATCACTCCCCCGAGCTACGCACATACAGTGCTCGGACAATATACACATATTTCTCGGACACACTTCTACTAAATATACAACCCAAAAACCCTTCAATTCACCAAATCGAAAAGATGTCAAGGACCACGACAACGGTGGGTAGCCAGCATATGTGACGATGATTTAACAATTCAAGTAAAGTGAAGATGTGATCGATGTAGCCCCGATATCAACAAGACCCGGCTTGATCCTCGCGAATCTGGCTTTCACGGGTGCCAGTCAGTCTGTGAAGAATGACAGACGCAAGTAATTTAGAGAAGATGGAAATCAGAAACATCTGTGGTTACCGCAATCTGAGCGTGAGCCTCCCATGAAAATTGGCACTATGGCTGAGCGGCTACAGTGGGTTGGGACAATTTACTGCTCCCACAGTTTCATCAAAAACTCGTGTATATCATCCACAAGAGCACGTCGCTGAACTAGGAGAGGTAAAGAGGAAGATCTGGTGCCGCGGTGGTATTCAACGTAAACACTGCTATCATGTTCCACTTCTGAGCGGAAGGGAGATACAAAGAGAGCCCAGGGAGTAGGGTGATCAATGGCCAGTCAAACACTACAAGTGTTTTGACAAGATATGGGTCGGCTGTCCACTCTCGTCGCTTATGGTCTCGTAACACCAGATCTCTTACTGCCCATTACTCCTAGCACTAAGGACAGCGGTCACTTTCATCGCCGACGCATGATGAGATCAACAGGACTCGTGGTCTTTCTGCAAGATAGCACGAAGTTTGCCCGGAGGTCTTTGAGAGTCTCGTTGTGTTCGCTCCGAGCCGGAATTTATCGGCGAGCATCGATAAATTCCAAAGACTGCACAGAGACTCAATGTCCAGTCCAGCAACTAGATTTACCTCACGATGATCTGCCTGCTGCCAAATAATGTCTGGTAAATATGTGACCAGTGACGTTCAACTGTATTCAGTCAACGCACACTCAGCTCGGATGCCAGCGTACTTCGATACGCAATCAGAACATCTGGCTTTGCTATTTGGTGAGCAGCAATGAACTCAAACGTCACTGCGGAACTTCGACAAAACGTACACGTATTTAGCCCACACAAATGCATGGTGAGTGTCCACACATGTGCACAAAATCCAGCATCAGTGTTGGACACAATCCTTTCAGCAGTAACTGATTGTGATGTGATCGAGTTGTGTTCAAGGCTGGTGGGAGCCATGTCACCCGCGGCGGGTGCTCTATCGGAAGTTGGTGTCTGCGAGAAACAGGCGAGAAACATTACACAAATGAAGTAAGCGCTCACAGTTGACGTTACGAAAGCCAACAACGTGTTGGCCACACAGATGCAGCTCAACTTGAGCGTTCAAATCACCAGCAAGCAATACAGTATCCGTACTTTTCTGTGACAGAGGACCGTGTTCAATTGGTGATAGAAGTCGTCTTTCACCGAGTCAGAATTACAATTTGTGGGCGCGTAGGCAGTAATGACAAACAAGCACCGTTTGTCCCTACGCGAGTTCGAAGCTTTGAACGAGCTAGCTAGTCGTACGGCACATACCTGGCTACTGATTGGGAGCCAATCAACCAGAGTAACTTAAGCCCGAGGATTCAGGGCAATACCCACATCAGCTTGGCCTGTACTCAAAGCTGCATCATCACCGGGTAGACGCAGTGAGAAAACACTGATAGTGTGACCTAAAGGGGAACAAAGAGTAAACATGGAATTCGAGTTCAGCATGCGGGTTTCCGATAAGCAGCATATACCGATCAAGAGGGTCACTAATGTTCTAGCAGGTGCTGCCTGTCGACCGATCTGTAACAATGTGCGCACGTTCAGGCATACTAACCTGAATGAGGATCGAGGGCTCCAAATATAAGCGAATGAACTGCGATTGTCCGCTTGACTGGACATGTGCATATCGACAGGACAAGAGTGAAGCTCCGCGTTTGCGTGTGACTGGAAACTAGAAGATAAACGTCTAACAAAGCAAAGTAGGGGACGGCCAAGAATCAGGGAGTTGAGAACGGGAAGATAAAAGTGAAGTTGAAAGAAGGCGATAAGAAGAAAAACGAGCAAGAGAGAGAATAAGGAGACGGAAATGACTGAAAGTAACTTCCCCACCTCTATATACCCCGCGCGATGCAGTAGATACGGTGCCGTTGATTATCTTCTGCGATGGCCAGAGCGGCAGGAAAGTATATGATATGTTTATGGTATGGCCTGGGCAAGATACTGTCAGGCTGCCCACATCTAGACAGGGAACCGACAAGAGTCCTCAAACAAAGCCTTCGCTTCGAAAACCCGAACGCGAGGCAGCGGGCTACAAAGACCGTTTTAAGGAAAGAGAAGCTACCCTCACCCCAAACCCCAGATTGAAGGACCAGAAAACTGACTTTGTCTCGCCCTTAAGCTTTGGCCAGTCTAGTATGTGTTACTCCGAAGACGCAAGAGACATTACCCAGCATAGCTCAAAGGATGGCCGAGGCACGCAAACCATTGCAACACGGTAAGGTCCAGCTTCGTTGTAGCGAGCATTTTACTTGTCTGGCAACAAGGTACAGATGATGACATAAAGACGATGGGCCAATCCATCATTTTCTATAATACTCAAACCGATGGCTAGTGATGTATGGAACTGGTTCAGGAAAATATAACGAGGCAGTAACCTCAAAAATAACAGTGTGTTCATAGGAGAAAACGACAAAACAGCAGACCAAAAACCAGAAAAGGGAGAGGAAGTTATAAAATCCGTGCACTTTAGTGACACCGGTCCAAAAAGGATGATCTACCACGTACCTGTCTTCGCTGTTGCTCCAATTCAAATAGATCGGCTCTTCCAAGATCCGGAACACATTCGGTTGAAAACAATACACAGACGAAGCGTAAAAAGTAAGTGGCAAAATAAAGGAGGGCCAACAGATACTTGCGGGACTGGCCAACGAGAATAGTACAGTTAAAAATGCTTCCACCAAGCAAATTCAGATTCGTGCTCATGCACCCGCACTGGGTAAGCAGTTGATGCAAGAGTACATTCGGTAGAAAGGCCCAATGAGAGGTGGGTGACGGTAGTTTAGCCGCCTAAGGAGAAAGCAGAAAACACGATTATATCATGGGATGTTCCCGAGCAAGGGTAAAACAATAAAAACGACAAAAAGTACAGTGTTAAGGAGTCAGAAACCCTTCAACGAGTGAACAAATGCTGCAACACGAACGTGAAATGGTTTGTAACCTAACAAAAAACAAATTATGGCTTGTCTTGCTTCGGCATATGTAAGCTGGGAGAACAAATAGGTGTAGGAAAGCGGGTTACGACAATAAAAAGGACACTACCACTGGTGAATGGCATCCGATCCTGAAGAGCTTTAACAATGAATAGGCTAGTGCAACATGAGCGGTATTTTTAAAGGGAAAAAGTTGATGAGCAGTGGATTTATTGGGTTGTTTGGAAGATTCGTCTCCGCTAGACTCAGGTAGACAAATATAAAATTAAAAACGCCAGCTGTACGCCGTAACAGCGCTTCGCTACCACGCGACCACCACCACTCGCGCGTGGGCTAAGTATAGCGCGAGGACGCCCGCCCCTACGCGGATTCGAACCGGTGACCTTATGGTTGCAAACCAGGCGCGCATACCACTCGACCACCGAGCCAAACTGAAAGCATGCAATAAAACAAGCGAAATTCAGTAGAAGGAAGGGTGATGTATCAGGTACAATTAAAAAGAATGCTTTCCATTTCATCATATGACAGTTCAAAAGCAGATGGTTAGAACAACAATAAAAAATTCCTGGACAAGAAAAATACGAATACATCCAATAAAGGGGGAAATCTGAAGAATGAAACATACCAGACTCGGAGACGATGAGGCCATCAAGCTGGTGACCCAACCAGGGTGCAGCATTAACAACCCGGTTACAACTTGGCCGAGAAAACTGTAGCAAGCAAAGAGAAGAAAACATACGCGAATATTTGGATAAGTGAGCATATTGCTAGAATGATAGGCAAGTAGTGAGAAACAATGATTACCTATGCGGTGACGAAACACGACCTCAACGTAAGGCTCGTTGGGATATGCTAGTAAGCAAGCTCGCGAGGAGATCGGCTCTGAGAGTGAAGCGACACTGTACGTAATTCTCTGATCAGCCGAGTTGTAACTGTTGGTGTTTTTGGTGCGTTGATATTGGACGAACTCAAACTCCTGGTCCTATGGACTCGAAACTGGAACTATCGTGAAGCTAATTTAACTAGAAATGGACCATTCTGTAAACCGCTGCCAATATCCCGGTACTTTATCAGTCGGCTACCTAATCAAAGGCTTTCACTTTCGATGATACTCGCTCACCAACCCATGTTTTGGTGCCCTGTTGGTGTCTCAAACGATACATAACCATGACTTCTCATCGAAATGAACTCTTATCCTGCATCAGTCAAAAGGTCATCAGTTGCGAACAAATGGAAAAATAAAAGGAAACAGGCTACTGCATGTGTTTTCAATTAGGGAAGACACATGGTACGAACGCATTGCAGTAGAGAGAGGAATTATGCATCCAGACGGAAGCGAACCGACAAGCCTATGGGCCTGGTCGCACCATCATCATCAGCATCATGAGTAGACGGGAACTGAAGGAAAACACACTTCAGCAAACTATGCCGCAGTACCAGATGAAATGAGATTTATGAGAAAGCGGGATACTAAACATTACAGAATACAAAAACTAAAAAAATAATGCTTAGTGTAATATTATCTGTACAATGTGAGATGGTTGTTGGAAGAGGAAGCTAAGCGAAAAGCGGAGGGACAAAAGACTCAAACGCAAATGTTACTGAGATCGGCTCTTCGCTATGTCAACGAGTTCATCCAACTAAATGTGTTCACCATCCCTTGGACCCCAGCCTGGCAGTAGGGGGAAATCAACGGACACCAAGTTCGAAGTGAAGGAGTTCAATCCTCTTGACCAAGTCATCGCTTAGCCTCTTCTTCACTTCTTTCAACCAGACCCCGGTCGCGCAAACAGCTTGGTTGCACCAGGCAGTCATCCGTCTACGCGGCTCCGCTGACTGCTTGATAACACATGACAGCGCCTGAGTCCACGCAAAAGTCCCATTTTTTGAATGCATAAGTGGCGAGAAAATAACTCGGTTTAATACACAACAATGGCATCGCTGTACAGGAGTGAGGCTTAGCAATACATATAGCAGTAACGTCATTGCCGTTCATGATTTCGCTGAGGTACTCTCGATAAATAAACAGGTTGTCACTGAATGATGGATTACTGTGGTAGCTCTCCGCCAAACTTCTCGACCGTTACACCTGTGCAGCTCTTTCTTACCTAGTTTCCCAATGCAGGCGACGTCAAGTACAATTTACTGGAATCTTGTCATTTGAATCCGTATCATCACTGCACACGCTGGCCTCCAATTACCAAAAACAGCGTGTCAAACGAAGTCATCCGACTACGCTGACCGTTAGTAACACTGTTGGCCCGTAGCCTAGAGGTAACGAGCTTGTCTCGTAATCTTGCGGCGCGAGTTCGAATCCGTGTAGGGGTGGGCGTCCTCGCGGTATACTCAGTCTGCGTGCGACTGGTGGTGGTCGCACAGCAGCGAAGCGCCGTTATGGCGTACAGCCGACAAATTAGTATTATTACACCTCAAGACGGAAGAGAGCAGAGGCTGTCTTCGAAAGTAAACTACGTATCCTGTGTGAAGGGACGAATTGTGACCACTTCAGTGTATTCCTGTAAACTGTTGCATGCGTGTAGATGGTCCGGCGATAGACGGTGTTTGTTCGTGGCGGCCGACCACGTCTATACTCAAAATGCGTTCTGTCACGAAATCAGTAGGCCATCCTCGACGATGCTGATACAGCTGTAATTCTTGCAGCAGGAAAGACGAATATGTAAGTCAATCTCTGAGTCTTAAAAAAGGCTAGTTGGGTGGATTTAACTCTGAGTGACTATCTCAACGGTGCGTACCAAGCGGTTGGTGCACGGTAGTGGGGAGACGAAGTCATTGTTGTATCTCCCCGGAAGACAACAAGTGATGGGCCGAGAACGACCATAACGCAATGATATTCGTGTGGCCTGAGTTCATCCTCGACCAAAATCCGATTCTTATCATACCAAGGTGCCATCGGTTTTATTTTAACTTCACCGGTGGAACAAACGATTTTCTTGATCGGTACTGGAAAAGCCGCCTCAGCTCAAAGTTAGGTAAGCTTAACAGGAAGTGTTGCGTACAAACTTCTATCTACATGTGTTGAGGTCATGGAATTTCAATGCTTACGTTGCGGGGATTTTTGCCTGCAGCACCCACCACCATCATACACTACACATTGGACGTGAAAAGATCAGTGAACTTGCAGGAGTCCGGAAGACTCCTCGCTACATGGAACAGACTGTAAGAGATAAAACGAAGTTTTTAGGCATATCAAAGGGTTTACTAAGCTTAGAGAGGGCGAGTGACTTTTGCAAACTCGCCCTTCATTCGGTATTACCGGTCCAACGAAATCACACATCATGGAAATAAACAGAGACAAGGTAAATTCCATAACTCGTAGTAGAAAATGCCAGTTGGCACCTGGTAAAAAGCCCAAATGTCCATTACTCCTGAGCTGCTTTGTGCACGGACAATGGAGGCTGGACCGTGTGAAGCGATTGTTCGAAACGTTATCCCGGTGCCAAGCAACATTAGAACTATGGGTTTGAATCGCCTAATGACTGTAGCATCTAAGGATGGCTGTGAGATTACATGCGAAAAACTAACCCACGTGTTCGAACGGGTGTAGAAAGATGCCTGAGTGAACCACTCAATGTGGCAATATTTAAGGTCGCATCGCTTGTACTAACCATAACGGTACAATAGCTGTGTAAACTGTATCTGATGCGGAGTTACTTTCGAGGGGCAGTGTAAACGACAAGAAAGCTGTCTTGTGCATACCACCTTAGCTTCTCATGACATTCAGATGCTTGTGACCTGATGTTGTTGACAACGTGTAGACGCCTTGACACTGAATATTTACTTATGGCGTTTATGTGTTACACAAGGTCCATCTCCTCTTCCCCTTATGATTCTTCGTTCCGTAGGCCATTAAGGTTGTATGGCATCGAAGCATCTGTTCAAACGGTATATACACTGTTGTTGATGAGATGTTACGCACCATTAACTAACGTGACAATGATGAGCCTCAGGAGTGCGTTTGATAAGAGTGCTGGAAAAAATAATGGTTCACTGTGACCTATCACCTTGCGGTGGAAAGAGGAAGCAGCTTTGGTGAGAAGAGCAATCAGGTTGCCGAACGGGAAGTGACGGCAAATATCAGAAGACCCCTCTGTTAACAAACCGATCGGAGCCAAGCTTATCAGTCAAAAAAATGCCAATATCTCAGGATTACGTCGAATAACCGTTCAGCCAAAACAATGTGGTGAATACATCAAATTGTACAAAGCAGAAGCATTATTTACCTTATTTTCTGAATAGAAAAAAATAATAAATGTAATAGCGAGACGGCGTTCTACGGTGGACTTTAGATCATTAGATTCTGGCTGTGTGGGAGGCACACATGATTAGGCGACCCGCCCGAAGCGCAGTCGGAAGGTCAATGATGGACTTTGAGTAGCTAAGGGCCTAAGAAAAAACTTCGTAGTGTCGCACTAAGTAATGGCTTCATTCCAACTTGTAGGTATTCAGTCGGGTGGGTTTTGACCTAGGCGAACCACCGAAACGCATGCAAACGGTCGCACACACCAGTGCACGATCAGTATCGACGCAAGTTGCCCAAAATGATCGGTAGTCGCGTACGCTGCCGCGCCACCTGCGACTTAGAGCTATGTGGTCAATCTGTGACCAGCGCTAGGTTGACGATGGGAGGCGCCAAGTGGAGTACTGACGTCCAGGATGACGAAAGCTGGTGTTGGAGAGGAATAGTTGATGATCAGCACACAGACTGAGCAGTCTCTCTCCATTGTCTGAGCGAACATCATCATATCCATACGGTCCTCCGAGGTGGCGCTCACATGGCAGCAGACGACCGACACGCGCGTTGAAGTCACCTGCCAAAACAATGATGTCTGTCTTAGGAGCAGCTCATGAAGGTTCTGGTAGAACCGCTCTTTGACGGTGTCTGAGCTACAGTCAGTGGGCGCGTAGGCAGAGATCACGAAGAGAGCACGCTTTTCGACTCGACGGCTGCTAACTTTACAAGAGCCATGGAGCCTCATTGCACAAGGGCGGCTATTGATCGGAATCCAATCAATCAAAGCAGTCTCAGCTCTAGCATTGAGGGCGATTCCAACACCAGCTTGCCCAGATGCGGCAGACACGGCGTCACCAGAGAGGCGGAGATGGAACCGGGTGCGTGGGTGGAGCAGTGACACCAGCTGGTAGACCGAGTTAGAGTCTTGGAGTCGTGTTTCATTCAGGCAGCAGATATCAATTCCAAGGGTCTCTAGCGTGCGTGCAAGTCCAGCTTGCTGACCGATCTGCAGTAATGTGCGTACGTTGAACGCTGCAAGTTTGAACTGCGTTCCGGGTTGCAGGAGCGAAGCTAGGCGGCTTTGGGACCGGCAACTTTCTGTTGAGTACTGTGTGGTTGAGTAGACAGATGTCACGGGATCAGGTTCATCAGTGTAGGTGGGATTGATCGCTATAGAGGAATTAAGTAAAAATAGGTGTGAATGGTACACAGGAAGGGTAGATAAAATGGTGGCGTGTGCTCGTGCAGTTGGCATAGTAACATGAGTGAATAGCATGGTAGCAACAAGACAGCGTGTGAATGGTTGTGATTGTAAGTCCATGGTTCGTCAGTGGGCGAGATACTACCCGGTTGCTCAGGCAGAAGTAGAGGGTTATCTTAGGGGGCCCCACCCCGAGCCTTTGAACAAGGATCTAACCTACAAGGCAGCAGGGCAATATGAGGGTATTGCAACCCGTT